CTCCCCCCCTTGGGGTGTGTTTACAAGCTTAGAGAACCTCTCTATTTATAGGCCTAAGGAAGTGAAAAATCTGAGTTCAATATGGCTAATGCATACAACACTTGTTTTTTAAAATCTGAAATGGTTGATGCACTTGTATTAGAAAATTTTAATTGGTTGATGCACTTCACCAATAAATCCCACCAGCAGACCTGGCTCATCTTCATGTCACCATGACCAAGCTTCCAACCAGAAATAATAGCTCATCCTGAGGTCAGCATGACCAGAAACTTCAAGGGCTTACGAATTGGGCTTCCCTTAAGCAAAGTAAGACTTTAAGCACTCAAACTTGAAGTTCAGAATGTCTTCTTTCCAGCCATATATCATTTGGGCCAATCCAAGGTCGGAGGAGGAAGTTAAGGCCAAAACAAATTGCTAACTCATTTTGCGCGCTGATAAAATCCATCCTGAGCATGGCTCTGTGTTTGCTAGGTAACAGACTCCATATTTATCCAATGGGGCTGAATTTTGGATATGTTATAGTACACACCCATTGGAACAACTTTCATGAAGAATGCTGCCTCATCCGAGCTGTGTAGGTTGCTGAAACAAAGCTTGCAATATGACCTACGGAACTGGGCTGGCAGGGGACTGTAGCCAAAATTGAGTTTGTCTTTAAGCTCTTCATCCATTCATCCAAATTAGGCCCTAACATGCATGGATTGCATCATTTACTATCCAAAGCCATCATTATTACCTAAAGCTCAATGAACTGAAAGATAAACACAAAAAGGATTAAAAGCACAAGTTTAACTCAAAAACATAACCAAATCATAAGCTAGAAGGGTACAAAATGATATACAATTATGAACCGATCAGACCCCTCCTAGAACTCGCAAGGAGGTCCAAAGTTTGACAGGTAGGATCGCCTCGCTGAATCGTTTCATTTCTAAATCCACAGATCGGTGTCTCCCTTTCTTCAAGGCTCTAAGAGGGAGAGGGAAAGAGATAATGTGGACAAAGGAGTGCGCTGCTGCGTTTGACAACTTACGGGAACACATGGGTCGTGCACCCATCCTCTCAAAACCAGAAATGGGAGACATACTATCGTTGTACGTATCGACCTCTTCATCGGCGATCAGCTCAGTCCTCACACGAGAAGACAATGGCACTCAACGCCCAGTATACTACGTCAGCCGAGCACTCTTAGACGCAGAAACACGATACCCGGACATAGAGAAATTAGCATTAGCTTTGGTTGTCTCTGCGAGAAAACTCCGACCATATTTCCAAGCCCACCCGATCCGAATTCTTACAGATCAGCCACTTCAGCAGGTTCTACAAAAACCCGAAACCTCAGGTAGGCTAATTAAGTGGGCAATAGAGCTCGGTGAATTCGATATCGAGTATCGACCCAGAACAGCCATCAAGGCACAAGCCATGGCAGACTTCATCTCAGAATTCACCTCGGCACCATCCATGCAGGGGAATAATATTCCACTTCCCAACCCTATCAGAGAGGCCGACCACCACTGGATCTTGTACGTGGATGGAGCCTCCAACTCACAAGGTTGTGGAGCTGGCCTGGTACTCATTTCCCCTAACGCCACAGAAGTTGAATACGCACTTCGATTAGGATTTCGGGCGTCCAACAATGAGGCAGAGTACGAGGCCTTAATAGCCGGCCTTCGCCTCGCCAAGGAGCTTGGCGCCAAAAAGATCCAAGTACGGAGTGACTCACAACTTGTGGTCAACCAAGTAAACGAGGAATATCAGGCTCGAGATGATACCATGATCGCATATGTGGCAAAAACAAAAGACCTACTATCACAGTTCCAGACATATGAGCTGAGCCAAATCCCCCGCTCCAAGAACAGCCGAGCCGACTCTCTTGCCAAGTTGGCCTCAGCTGCAACATCAAAGATAAAACGGGTCGTGCCAATTGAATTCCTTGCAGAAAGAAGTATTGACCAAACGAAGCAGGAGGTTAGTATGCTCAACCACGGACCTAACTGGATGTCTCCGATTCGTGACTTCCTAACCAACGGTACCCTACCAAATGACAAGGCCGAAGCTCGACGCCTAAAGCTTCGGGCCACAAGATACACCATGTTGGAGGATTGCCTGTACAAGAGAGGATTTTCTCAGCCACTCCTAAAATGCATCACATCCGACCAGGGGCGAGAGCTCCTACGAGAGGCCCACGAGGGGATTTGTGGTGACCATTCTGCAGCAATATCCCTGACCACCAAGATATTACGTAGGGGATATTTTTGGCCCACAATGAATGACGACGCCAAACAACTTGTGCGAGTTTGCAAACCTTGCCAACTCTTTGCCACCATCCCACACCAACCTCCTGAGGGGCTCACCACCATGTCAGGCCCCTGGCCATTCGCACAGTGGGGACTGGATTTGATTGGACCAATGCCGAATGGAAAAGGGCAGACAAAATTCGCTATTGTCGCTGTGGACTATTTTACCAAATGGGCAGAGGCCGAGCCCTTGGCAACCATCACGACCACTCAAGTACAGAGCTTCGTATGGAAGAACCTGATCTGCCGCTTTGGCATACCACACTCGATTATCACTGACAATGCAAGACAGTTTGACAATGCCAAATTCAAAGCCTTCTGCTCTGGTTTGAATATCAACCTTCGTTTCTCCTCACCAGCTCACCCACAAGCCAACGAACAGGTAGAGGCAGTGAACAAAATTATCAAGCGCACCATAAAGAAAAAGTTGGGGGCCAAGAAGGGGAATTGGCCCGAGCTACTCCCCGAAGTGTTATGGGCATACCGCTGCACCCAACGATCATCCACAGGTGAAACCCCTTACTCATTATCCTTTGGGTCTGAGGCGGTCATCCCAATTGAGGTAGGTCAACCTACCCGACGAGTAGAGCATTTCGCACCTGAGCAAAGCGGAATTGAGCAGAACCTAAGCTTGGACCTCCTTGAAGAACGAAGACTGCAATCAATTCTCCACCTAGCCGCCTACCAACAACGCACTACTCGTTTCTACAATCAAAAGGTGAGAGAAAGGAACTTTCGACCTGGGGACTTAGTCTTGCGGAAGGTTCTCCCGGGTACCCGAGACCCAACCGCGGGTACATTAGGGGCCAATTGGGAAGGTCCCTACACAGTAACCGATGTTGCCCGACCTGGGACCTATCGGCTCGCCCACTTGAACGGCAAGGCACTACCACATCCATGGAACGCCGAACACCTCAGACAATATTTCCCATGATCAAGTGGGTAACATCACTCCACCTATCCGACCTTTGACGGTCCGGGTCGCATGTCTTTAATTTCCATAACTCACCAAACTTACCCCCGACGACACTGAACGACTCGATCAGGGGGTGAGATCTCGGGTGAACCTATCTGTTTTTTCCCTTTCTAAATTAACTACAGCGTGTGCTTTGTTTTAGTATTTTCTCGTTCAAACATATCTTGGTCAGCTCTGCTTACACTTCAAACATCACACACTTGAATAGTGGCTTGCGAAAATACTCAATATATCAAACATTCATAAGTAAACAAATAAAACTTAAAAACCAACTCTAAATCAAATCCAAAAAATTAAAACAAGTTAAACAATCTGAGCACGTTACCAAGATGAGCCGACTAAGATCACAGTAGCTACGACATTTTTAAAGTTTAAAATAAAAGATAAAAAAAAAAAAGAGAATATATATATATATATATATATATGCACAAGGAAGTACACAACCACCTGTCATCGGAACCAGACCCGCGTTCATTAATCTCAGGGGAGTCAGAATGCTACTAACAGACCTCTGCTCGGTACTAAAAAAAAAAAAGTTAGCAGCAGTATAGCTAAATGACAGAGCACAAGAAAGGATGAACCAAGAGAAGAGGGACCCGACCTGGCTCCCTAAAACAACGAGCAACACTATAGGTCGGTGTCCGACCCCCTTCCAAAAACTCCCATGCCCCCGACACAAAAAACCAATGTAGTTTCCAATACTTGGGGGACGATGGTTGATCTTCCACTATCTTCCCAACAGCACTCTGAAGATAGCAAAAGCCGACCTGCTTGGGACTCCTTTTCAGAATCAGACAGTGCTGGAGTTGCTTTATAGTCGGCTCAGTGCCATTCACTTCCATCCACAACACATACAAAGATAGCATGACCCCGTACGCATTCGAATTCAATTGATGCGGAGCAACACCAAGAACACATAACCAATGTTGGAGACAAGCCTTCAACGGGAGTCTAACCCCCTGCCCAAACATATCCGTGTACAATGTAACGTACCCCGAGGGCGGACAACTCGGTCTCTCACCTCTCCGAGGCAACCTAATCTCAACACTATGTGGAACCCCATAACACTTCCAAATACGGTCCAGCTGCCCACTCCTCACGATGCTCGGGAAACGGTCAGCTGACCAGTCTTTGTCAATATAAAACTCGGGGTCCGGCGGCACACCAAGCCTACCCGAGTAACAGTTTACACCATAGTCCAACGCCCAACACCCTATTTCCTGCGCAACACTACCCTCATATGGAAACAGCTGGGTACCACCCCTTGACTGGCTCGACTCAGCATCTACCCCATATCCTATCCTCACACGATGTCTCTCCATCACGGGTAACCCATCTACCAACTCATCATAGGATGCCCAAGTCTCTCCACTATCTGCACTTCGCCCAACTACACCCAAATTGCCTTCATCCCCCCAATCAACGGAGAATGCCGACCAGTCCTCCGAACTCCCACATCCCGACATCCCAATCTGATTACTCCTAAAGAAAAATAAAATAGAAACTCCAAAGAACAAGCAACCCAACAAGAGAAGGGGAATAGCTTACCAAAATTTGCAATAACCCAAGCAGTAGTTTTCTTCAAAAATTGCCATCTCCAGAAATTGCACTCTCCCCTGTATGAGGCAAGGAACCAAAGAGGAGTGAAGAAACGCGAAGAAGAAAAGCCTCTGCGTTTTCTACAGACCACCATTTTTCAAACTTCCCAATTAATTCACCTACAAACCCACCAGTCAGCATAAGCCACGCGGACCACACCAACTGTTTTGGCAGAAATTTTCAGAAAATTTGAATGGGCGTGCGAATCTCCTATATACTCAACCTTTGCTTTTCCAAGAAAACTGAGAGGTATGCCATGTGCTGTTTCAAAGTGAACAATATTATATGATTAATATTGTTTGGAGTATTATATTGGCTAAACAATATTACAATAATATGTGGGACGTGTGTTGTGTCAAAATGCAAGAGAGGATGCCCACCACTTTAACAATACTACAATGATAGGTGGCAATACCCTATTCATATGATATACCCAAATATATATATATATATATATATATATATATTAAAGTAATAGTTCCTCACCTTGGCTGGGGACTTGGGGACTCTAGGCACAGGTATGGCATTGTGAATCAGCTCGTGTGAAGACTGGTGCAACTCCCCACCCAAGGCGTGACCCTTGAATAGAGAGTTGGGGGACTCCTGTTGATATATATCATAGCCGACCCAATTCACTACGGCATACCAGAATGTCCTACCCGATTTACTATGCCTATTATACTAAAATATCCTACCCGATTTACTATGCCTATTATACCAAAATATCCTACCCGATTTACTACGCCTACCAAGTCTAAAAAATCATACCCGTCCTCCCATCACGTATAGGTCATCACGTGCGCCCTGACACCTTACCACAGTCCACTACTGTTTGTCACCACGACCGCCCATGGGCCTGACTCAAATCCACTAAGGAATGTCCCGCGCGTATTCCAAGGGCACGACAGAGACCTCCAGCTAGAACAGCATGGGTCCTTGACGGACCCATACCAACAGCTCACTATAAATATGCCCCTCAGGCATGCCTAGAGGAGGGGGCTCATTCATACAATCACTCATAAATATTCACTACCACAAGTTCACTAACTTAAGCATCGGAGAGGGTTTGGCCGGTACCACACCGGTGCCCTTCACGGTGGTCCTCTGTTTCTTGTGTGCAGGTGGACCCGTACTATAAAGGAGGTCTCAGCCCTGCTGAAGCCTCACTGTTGGCTGTGCTAAAAACACATACAACACCAATAAATATGCATGAATTCCAAAAAAAGGATTCTCTTTACTTTTGTAAAAGTGGAGTAATTGCTTGTGCATCTTGTAATTTGTCGAGCTGTCAAATCAATTCAATCAGTACACATAATTTGCCTCAACTATTTTATATACTCCCATAAGTCGTCTCATTCCAAAAAGTAAGAGGAAAGGAAAAGAATATTTTTAAATCAGTAGAGTAAATAGCATGCAAGTAGTATTAGTGCCCGTTTGGCATTGCTTATTTGGGATGATAAGTGATTTTTTTAAAATTTTGGGAAGCTCAGCCCGTTTGGTAAACTGTGAGAAAATCACTTATTATTCAAAATTGCTGTAAGAGAAAGCTATAAGGGAAAGCAGCTAATGAGATGCTTTCATTTTCTGATTATGTAGGAATCAGTTTCGAAGGGGCGCTGGGTTTAATGATTATGCGGCAATTATTTCCTGATTATATGTGGAAATCAATACCAACAACACTTTTAACAAAAAGTTTACCAAACGCCAAACTGCTTTCTGTCACAGCTGATTTCTCTCACAGCAAATCTGACAGCGATTATTTTCACAGCACAGCAATGCCAAGCTGATCAGGGTACAATATACAAATTCGTTGACAATATTTTTGTTGTTGTTGGAGACTATGACCATATAATTGACAATACTGAAGTTGAAAATGAACGCCCCAAAAACAACGCACCCCATAGTATTTGTTGGTTAGGTCGAAATGAAAGTTTCAATGGTCCAAAACGTAAGATGATGTTTACTTTGTATGCGATGAGAAATTATTCGATGTTGTGTTATATATATGGCCATAAACATAAACGAGGTCAACATAAAAATAAAAACAAGAACAAGTTTAAGTCCAAAATGAAAAGGCCAAACGGCATTTTTGGTCTCCATAGTTTCACTCTTTTTTATTTTTTTATTTTATTTTATACAAGTTAACTGCTCTTAATCACCTGCATATAGTTGGGAAGGTGTGAGGTTTTATAAAAAAAGTCTTAATGTTATTATTAGTAAAATTACTTATGGAAAATACTTTCCCTCCTTACCATGTATGTAGGAGCTCCTAAATTCCTACCAATAGCAACGTGACATGTGTTCATAAGTTTTTATTTTTGTGTTTTAGATGAATTATTTTGCATATGTGTCAAATTGTGATTCACAAGAAGGAGTAATATCTCCTTACAAGTAGAGGCAAGCAGTATCCATCACTTAGGGCTAGCTTGGCATTGCTATATGCTATGAATATAATCAATTTCAAATTTACTGTAAGAGAAATCAGTTGTGAATGAAAGTGGTTTGGCGTTTAGTAAACAAAATACTAATTTTGTGTGAAAGTGTTGTGGTATGTGTATAATGACTAAAAAGGACATAATGTTGAAAATGAATTTTTCTCTCAATTGTTTAGTAGCATTTTTACTTTGACATAAAAAATTCTTTTGTCAAATGTATTTCTTAACCATCACACCCAAAGAATTGTTTCGATCATAAAATAAACAAAATATCATGTTGAAAATTAAATATTTGTCCTTGAATCCTCTAACTATTTGTCTTTGAAGTACCATGTTCCAAATCGATATATCATTCACCTAAATGCCCCAAAAAAACGATTCAGAGGAGAAAGTCAAGAAAATTCAGAAAAAAAAAACATAAACATTAGGAATAATTACAGCAAAAAAATTTAAAAAAATATTTGTAAGGGAAAGGAGGTAATTGCTGCATCCTGTCTTATCTATGCCACTCCTGGAGAATGAAAAAAGCACACCCACCAAGGTATTTATTTATTTAATTATTGAAGAGTGAAATGATAAACGAGTGAAGAGGAAAAAAAGAAGTGGACAAAATGGGTGAATTAAAGATGGAATGGAATGAAGGGATATGCGGCGTAAATTGTAAATAGATATAAGTGAATAGTTATTGCCCTTGCAAATAGTATTGTGTGTTTCCACCCGTTGCCATGGCAAAGGGTAATTACTATTCATTATTTTGTTTTTTTCACAAATTTTTTTACCTCAATAATTAATTTGGATAATATTTTCGGGTTCCTACTTGCACTGGTGGATCTAGAAATTTTTTAGCGGAGGTGCAAATTGACTAAGTATGAAAAATGATTTTTCAGAATAATAATTTTCTCAAGATAATGCGGCTTTTGTTTCTTACACATCAAATAAGAAAACTTGATTTTATGGGATTTTAGTATGAAATATATATTGACTTAATGAGCCATCATTTTTTGCCTAAATCGTATTTTGCACTAAAACCGATTTTTCATATTTTGATTTGGTGGGAATTTGATTTTCTAGTATTTTTATTTGAATCCAAATGGGGGGTACTTCCTTATTTACATTGTAAACTTAAGTAAATGGAGTAATATAAAAATAAATAAAAGTAAAAGGACAAAGACATTTACTTAAATGTTGAAAATGAAAATAAGGTCTTGAAAGACATTTACTCAGAATATTTTGGTATTTTTAAAAAAAATATATCAAATTTTTTTTTTCATAATTTTATTGCCAAAAAAATGCCAGCCGTTGGATTGGAGGAGGAGAAGCAGATCGGAGCGCCCAGGCCTTGACACCTGTCTCCAACGGTAAAAACATTTAAAACTACTCGATGACATCGCGCCTGACGTCATCAGCCCTCGGTTTGGGTCTCGGGCGAAACTGGCCTTCGGGCCAGCCCGTCTTCGTGGGTCCCACTCCTAGCCGGTGGAGTTGCTCTTAGCCATGGCAATGGGGGGGCTAAGGCAGCCACTATTCACGTGAATAGTGGTTGCCTTTGCAAATAGTATTTTGTGTTTCCACCCGTTGCCATGGCTAAGGGCAATTACTATTCATTTTTTTGTTTTTTTCACAAATTTTTTTACCTCAATAATTAATTTGGATAATATTTTCGGATAAGATTTCCGGGTTTCTACGTGTTAAGACTATTCATAATCGGATAAATTTCCGGATAAGATTTTTGGGTTCAAATTTCGGATGAATTTCAAAATTCAAAATTCAGATAAATTTTTGGGTTCAAATTTCAGATGAATTTCAAATTTCAAAATTCAAAATTCAGATAAATTTGGGTTGAAATTTCATATAAAATTTTCATCCAATCAAATCAAGCCACGTGGCATCTCTATCTTGCCAAAATTTTCTATAAAACCAGAGGCTCAGCTCATACCTCTCACACCACATCTTTCTATATTTTCATTTCTCAACATTTAGAATTCATACTCCATTCATTCTCAATGGAAGATTTTAGGAGATGCTTGGAGAGGCAAGAGCGAGAAAGAAATGAGAGAAACCGTAGAGCAGATGAAATCAATGAGTTGCAGAGACAAGTCGATGAACAAGTTGTCATAGCAGTGGCTTTGCAAGATGAAGAGAACCAAGGTCGACGCCGTGGTTCACAAGTCGGTCGCCGCCGGAATGTGGACAAACATAGGCATTCTCGGGGTAAGAATCTTTTGGAAGATTATTTTATCCCAACTTCTTTGTACTCTGATGTTGATTTTCGAAGGTGATTTAGAATGCAACCCCATTTGTTCAATAAAGTCATGCATGATATTTGCAATCATAATGCATACTTTGTTCAAAAGTGTGATGCTACTGGGGTTTTGGGACTTCTTCCGGAGCAAAAGCTTACAGCTGTTATACGAATGTTGGTGTATGGAGCATCTGCTGATCAGGTGGATGAGATTGCCTGGATGGGGAAATCCACTACGTTGGAGGCTTTGGTAAGATTTTGTGATGCAGTTGAAACTCTGTATACTAGGGACTACCTGCATAGACCTACTCCCAGGGACCTCCAACGGCTTCTACAAAAAGCCGAAGCTCGAGGATTTGCAGGAATGATTGGCAACATCGACTGCATGCACTGGAAATGGAAGAATTGCCCAACTGCCTAGCAAGGTGATTATGGAAATAGAAAAGGCCAAAAAAGTATCATCCTTGAAGACGTTGTTGGCTTCGACACATGGGTTTGGCATGCCTTCTTTGGAGTTGCTGGATCCCAAAATGACCTCAACGTGCTGGGTCAATCCCCGGTCTTCAATGAGGTTTTGAGAGGCCAAGGCCCCAATATCACCTATCAAGTCAACAATATAGTCTACCAGACGGGGTATTATCTAGCTGACGGCATCTACCCGAGGTGGACCACGGTATTATCTAGCTGACGGCATCTACCCGAGGTGGACCACATTTGTCAAATCCATTCCGAATCCCCGATCCCAGAAGCAAATTTTTTTTGCTACCTATCAAGAAAAATACAGGAAAGATGTCGAAAGGTGTTTTGGCATCCTTCAAGCTCGGTGGTTGATTATTTGAGGTGCAGCCCGTATGTTTGATGAGGAGGTCCTCAGAAGCATTATGATGACTTCCATCATCCTCTATAATATGATTGTGGAGGATGAGTATGATTATGAAGCTGCAGAGGTCTACGAACCGGATCCCATGAACACGGCCTTGACACGAATTTATGAAAGGCCCATGGGGCCAAGTGGAGAACCGTTTGAGCCGGACCCATTGGTTAGGGATGGTCGTTTCATGACCCGTATGATAGATCGATATACAGAGATGCAATGTTTGTATATTCATGAAAGACGTCAACTTGACTTGATGGAGCATCTATGGGCGGTGAAAGGCAATGAAGATGAATGATGGAGCATAGATGCTTTGGTTATGTTTTATTTAGTTATGGTTTGGTTGTGTTGTTTTTTATTTATTATGGTTTGGTTGTGGTTTGTTATTATTATTGTGCCTTGTTTGTAGTTTTTTTATTTTAATTATGTTTTGTTTGATGTATGGAATATGTTGAATAAAAAGGTCTTTTATTGAATGCTTTGTTTATTAAATAAAGAAATCCAATACAAGTCATTAAGAATTAGTACTACTAAAATAAAAAACATGAATTACAACAACTTTAATAGAAAACATGAAAAATAAAAAAACATAAAAGGTATGCCAACTAATTTAATGGTTTTCATCATTTAACCAATCCGTGTTGCTAGGCCCATCATCTTGGAAAAGTCTTCTTCTTCTCATAACATCCCTGCATTCTAGCTTCCAAAATTGTTTTGTTTCAGGGGACATATAGCTTGTATCCATCGCCATGGTTTCCCAATCCGTCTTCTCCCTGTCTTTTTTGCGCAAATAATCCCTTTCTCGTGAAAACTCGGCTTGAATTGCCATCTCGTTATCTTGGCGTTTCTGCTCCATTTCAATTCTTATGGCATTCTGCCTTGCAATTTCCTCCAAAAACTTTGAATTATTATTGCTTGAATTACCCGCTTTGTTTGCCTTCGCAGCCTTTCGCCCAATGGGCCTCGGCTCCTTTTCGATGGGTGAGTCTTGACTCATAGGGGAATCGAGAGGTGAATCCGATGTCGTTGCAACATATTGAAAATGCAAGAAATATTAACAACATATTGAAAATGCAAGAAATATTAACAACATATTGAAAATGCAAGAAATATTAACAACATATTGAAAATGCAAGAAATATTAACAACATATTGAAAATGCAAGAAATATTAACAACATATTGAAAATGCAAGAAATATTAACAACATATTGAAAATGCAAGAAATATTAACAACATATTGAAAATGCAAGAAATATTAACAACATATTGAAAATGCAAGAAATATTAACAACATATTGAAAATGCAAGAAATATTAACAACATATTGAAAATGCAAGAAATATTAACAACATATTGAAAATGCAAGAAATATTAACAAAATATTTAAAATGCAAGAAATATGAACAAAATATTTAATTTGCAAGAAATATTAACAAAATATTGAAAATGCAATAAATATTAACAAAATATATATATTAGGACATTAAACTCAATAAAACGAAAATTACAAAATACTTACCTCGTTAGTACGATTTTCCCCGCTTCTATAGTTGTCCATCGCTTTTGCCAAGGCATCTCTTCATTTTCCCAACTCTTTATTGAGAATTTTCCACCTACTAGACAATGTCATTTCCGTACGAGTCGACCCCGGAATTTTTTCACAAAAATTCGGCATGAATTTTTTTCCACATATGAAAAAATTTCATCTCATTGCCTGTCACAGGACAATAACAAACTTGGAGCCAAGCCTCACACAAGGAAACATCTTCCATGGTGCTCCACGCCACTCCAGTTTCGATAGAAGAAGCCATAAAAATAATAGAAAAAAAATACAAGGTGAAAGAGAGGAAAATGTTGAGTAAAGAGTGAATAATAGTAGAAGTAGAATAAAATGTATGAGGATTGGTGTTGAAAGTGAAGGGTATTGATAGGTATTTATAGAAAAAAAAAATCAGAAATTTTTAGTATTTTTTTTAAAAAATTTCGATTTTTTTTCATAATTTTATTGCCAAAAAAATGCCAGCCGTTGGATTGGATTCGGAGAAGCAGATCGGAGCGCTGGGGGCGTGACACGTGGCTTTTGCCCGTTGGAGCAATGCACGCGCTGACGTTAAAAAAAATTTAAACCAACGCTGACGTCGCGCATGACGTCACCCAACACGCGGGTTCGACCTCGGGCTGAACTGGCCTTCGGGCCAGCCCGACTTCGTGGGACCCACTCCTAGCCCGGGCTTGGGCTCACCACTGGAACATCATTTCCCCCCCAGCCTTGGGCTCAGCCCTCCGCTGGAACTGCTCTGAGGCAGCGATTTCCTCCAAAAAGCAGGTTTTTTCTCCTTTATCCAAAACTAGGAAAGAAATTGATTATAACTTAAAATAAACAATGTCAAATGGCACTTATTATATGTTGTATTGTACTTTGTGAAGTTTTTAACATGGGACTTATGTCAAATGTCGTGGATAAGTTCAGATCTTTTTAGCTTTACCAAGTGATTTTCAAGGGGTTGAAAAACTCCGTTTCTTATTTATAATTTTTCTGGATTGAACCACTTTGTTTTTTTTTTCTGGTCAAGTTAATTCGCATTCTTCGTAAAAAAAAATTCCAGGTGGATTTCTCCCTTGGCAATCAAGGAAAAGATTCTTTTTTGGCTAAGATATATTTTTTTCCTAGCTTTGCTATATTTTCCATAAGGTTCGAATGGGGATGTTTTATTCAATTTTATGCTTCAACATAGAGCTAGGTTCTTCTATACATTATAGGCTTTAAGCCCGCCATTGTACCCCAAAAGAAAGAGCCCACCATTGTAACTAAACAAAGGTTGTGTGTTCGGCTAAAAAGTCTACCACGTTGTGGCCAAGAGAAATGGAAAATTAACATTGGGATTTTGCAGCAAGTCCTCTTCAATTCAATTAAGGGATGATTGCCTGCTAACCACCGAAACTTTGTCATGATCGTGAAAAATATAATCAAATAAAAACTACATGCCCAATTTAATTTTAAATTTGCTTTAGATTTTACATTGGGTGGGTTCCAATGGGAAAGAGGTGAAAGAGAGGAAGGGAGAAGTAAGCGCTGAGATTCTTAGGCCTCGTTTGGTAGGATGGACTGGACTGGTTGGGATTGGACTTAAAGTGTTAGATTGGACTATAGCTTGGATTGGGCTAGACTTAAAGTCCTATTGAGTTGTTGGGCGAGGATCTAGTGAGAACGCCTATGTGAGAACATAACATGAGAACACCGTTGGATCTAATCTAACGGCCACTCCAACATCTTGGGATTATTGTTTTCAGCCATCTCACCGGATCTCAAGACAAGTCTCGGAGGTTCAAGCCCAGCCAATGGAAGAAGACCCAACATTTTCGGATGTTTTCATGCACGTGACGAGATCCATCCATGGAAAGCAATCAAAGGGAGTGATGTCAATATGAAATATTCCTAAGAAGGAGAGAATCAAGTGATCATATTTGCAATCCAATGATCTCATTCGAATCAATTCGGCGAATTTAGAAAGCCACATAAGGAAAGATTTTGAACGAAGTTAACCTTTGGACATTTAATGGCCAGCCCTTGGGTTGACAGATGCCCCTATATAAACCTCATCAAACAAAGAGCAAAGAGCCCGACATCAGACACAAAAACCTACTTTTTGTCTTTCACTTTTCTATCCCTAGACTAGGTTTTTATTTTCCAAGCAAGTAGACTAGATCAGTACTTCACTTTCGTTAGTGTAAGTTTAATTTCTTGCATTTTCCATTACGTTATTTTAAGATTCAAGTTTATCGCTTTACTTTCAATTGTTATCAAATTTTCTTTAAGTTTAATTTAATTTCATATTGCTTTATTTTATTGCCTTTATCATTTATATCGTTCTTGTTTCGTTCTTCGTTTAATTTACGTTTATCTATTGCTTTGATTTACTTTAACGCCCTTTAATTCTAGTTTTTAATTTTAATCGCATCTTTTAATTTAATTTGCATCATTATCATTAAAATCTCAAAAATACTAGAATACCCATACGAAACCTAACCATCCTCGACCCCGACGACGTGAAAGAACTTAGGCCAAGAGGAGGTTCCTTGCTTGGCCGATCAATCGGCTGGTTAGAAGTCAGAAGCGCAAACACAACAATCCAACCTTTTCCATTGAAGCCAATTAGTGGCTTGGTGGTGGCACGCTTACGCAATCCAAGAAAAGAAGGACCAAAAGTTCCTTCCAACGGCCACTTTGGCTGAAAAAAGGGAAACACACCCCCATACAAGCAATATAGTCTTGAACAAGACCCCAAGTTTGATAGCCACTATAACAATTTTGAAGAAGAGCATGTTCATGGTGATAATGGCCCCTTATTGGTGATTCAAAGGGTTTGTCTCACTCCACGAACAACTGATGGTGATTCATGGCTTCGCAATAATATTTTCCAGTCCACATGCACAATTAGGGGCAAGGTTTGTCGACTTGTTATTGACTCTAGTAGCTATGAAAATGTAGTTGTTGAGGAGGCAGTTCAAAAGTTGGGATTGGCGACAGAGAAGCATCCTCATCCT